TTTTGGGTTAGTAGTGATGGGCCAGGCCCAACTTGTGTTGAAGCCCGGTCTGAGTTTATAGCCCCCGACTCCAAGAGATCTAACAAATTCACCCCAATGTGGTCAACCCAGTCAAGCTCATCAGGTTCAAGGAGCTACTACATTAGCAAGGAGCAGACAAGGTCATCCAAGAGCCTCCTCCTCTACCACCTTGGAGTAAGGGTCATCTAAGGATCTCCTCTACCACCTTGGAGTAAGAGTCATCCAAGTGTCTCTTCTACCACCTTGGAGTAAGGGTCATCCAAGAGCCTCCTCTACGCCACCAAGGGAGCATCTAGGAGCCTCACCCTCACCACCAAGGGAGCATCCAGGAGCCTCATCCTTGAACAAGTCCTTTGGAGTGCACACCAACCATCACACCTCGCCCGTTAAGAAGATGATAGGTCGTCTCCGTCAGATCAGCTAACTAATTACTATCAAACGGTTCTAAGCCATTATAACCGTTAGACTAGTCATACAATTATTATGTCAAGCTACTATAAATTGTAAGCTCCCCCAATACTTGGGGGGTATCATACTCATTTAAACATAATTCTCGTCTCTCCTCTCAAAGCTTGTAATCATGTGCTCTTTCTCCACACCGGAGATAATAAAATTTCGACGAACCTAGTCATTTAAAGTGGACGTAGGTCGTATTGACCGAACCACTATAAATCTTGTCTTCTTTCCCTTTCTACTTACTGCATTTTATACTATAACTTGACTAGTGGTGTGCAAACTAATTTGTGCATCATCAAATAGTATTTTTTGTTCTTAACGTATGCATGTTTTGTCAGTTTGATCTTCATTGTATGATCTCTAAACAGATGGTCCATTAAATTTTTGATGAAAATGATCATGTATTGGTCACTTAAAATCATCCGAAAAATGACATGTGATTACTTCTGCCAAAAAATTTAACGGATTGTCAGACCATTTAAACGCGAGTTAGATATTTTAGAGATTAAATAGATAAAATTAATACAATAAAGACTAAACTGATAAAATGTGCATAATTTAGGGATCCAAAATATTATTAACCTTTTTATTTTTAAAAAAAAAACCAAATAGATAAAAAAATATTGAAGAGTGGTATAAGGAGGTGGTATTAGAGAAATAGTACATGAGACTCATCTTATATCTTGTTTGTTTAGCATTTTATAGTTAGTATTATTTTCAGGATCGTAATACCGACCGTCTATGAACAGTATTCATAATGCCTTGTAAATGGTCTTAATGAATATCACCTAGCTAGTGGTATTATATGCCCGGTACAAATAAGATGGAAGTATAATAGAGTAAAAAAACCTAACTGCCCTCATGTACAATTGTTTTTTTAAGTTTACAAGGTTACAATTGTCTTTTTAAGGTTACAAGGTTACAATTGTCTTTTTACGGGTCATAGCCGTAATTGTTGACTTTTTTTAAAGGTATTACATAAATAATGTTTGTGACAAACAAACAAGGAAAATGATGAAATTATAATTTAAGACCGAATATAATATACCATTGAATTAGTGTGAAATATATATAAAATTTTAAAATCGAAATAAACATGCCCTAATGATTTGGTTTGAAGTTCATAGGATTTCCAAATAGGGAGGCAGAGATTTTTGGAGACTATCAAACACCCCTTCAAAACCTAAAAGGCTCGCAACCAAAGACACACTCGTGCACTCTTGGAAACATAAAACTATACATCCTCGAATAAATATAAAACTATACATCTTTGTTGGAGAATTTTGGTCATAATTTACTTTGTTTTGATTGTCATTCTTCTCAGTATTTTACATGTGTGAAAATCACATATTAAATATAAAAAAATATAATATAATAATATATTATGAATACGTTCATTATNGAAATACTTGTAAGTTATCCGAATAACTTTGATTGTAATACCAAAAAAAAAAAAATTATAGAAAAAATACAAACGATCCAAAAATGTCTCCTCATGCACATGATTGCTCCATTCCTTTTGTCCACCTCCATCTACGGTACCGACTTACCCTACAAGCTCACATTGAGCCTCTTTTGTAGGTTAAGTCGGTATTGTACTTACATTAATCTTAGCAGTTGATTTTAAATTTAATGATTAATTAAAATAATAAAAAATAACAAAATAAAAAGAATAAACATGCGACATTTTCTTATTGATCGAAAAAAAAAAGACACAGAATCAAAAAATAATATTTTTTAATGGTGTAGTGGGGTTCCCCTTTGGCACCTTACCCATGCAATGTCTCGTCAACCCTTCTCTTTCTGTCTCTCATGATGTATTGATACATTAAGTCCCTTTTGCATCTTATCTATGCTCACCTTATCTATGCTATGTCTCGTCAAACCTCTCTCTCTCTCTCTCTCTCCATATGGGGTACTTGAGAAAAATTAAACTTGATCGTTACTTACATTTTTTTGCACCATAAAGGAGAAACATCAGTGTCGGTCTTACTTATCACTGTCCTTATTTCCTTCCTATCCAGTATTTCTTTTAGAGTACTGGATACTTATATCACGTCATAATTTAATAATTAAACACCCACATTCGTTAGATTGAAAATCTCAAAGTTTACTTTCCGGAAAAGTGTTGAGAATATAAACATTATTGTTTGTGTATTTTTAATCATGGATTAGGGTTGCGATATTAGTCATCGATTCAAACATGAACGGAGCCCATATAGGTTTTTAGTTGGGGCACCCTAAAACTTAGTAATGCAAGCATTAGTGCAAACATTCCTTGGTGCAATGCTGATTTTCCAAAATTGACTCAACTATTAGTTTGTTTAGTTACCTCAATGAAAATATAATGACCATACATATTCAAAAAGACGTAGAATAATAAATTCAATCTGTCACAAATCTATTAAACAAAACATAGATGTAAGAACAATTTAATCTCTCACAAGTAAATTGTCCAAGTCGTATATATTGAATTAATTTAATCTAAAATATTTTTTATAATATACAAAATTTTCAAATATAAGAAGAAAGTGATAGAATTGAAAACGGGAGATTGAGCTATGGCATTAAATTGTCTGAGAGAAGTTTAAGTCTAATTTTTAATTTATGAAAGAATTTCACTTATTTTTACCAACTAATGGGGGCAAGTAGTAACAAATTTTAATTTTTTCAAAAGTTTCAACAAACCCTAATTTTTTTGTTTGAATTTCCCATTCATCCCTTCCTACATCTGCCTCCTGAACTCAAAGAGCTCTAAGACACATCCATGCGACGTAGCAGAACGGTATTCGGTGATACACATAAAAGAATAAGTTAAAAAAAAAAGAGATTTATATCTTGTCAAATGTGTAGTAAAACGGTATCAACTGATTCAGTGAAGATAATTCAACGAATTAGCACCATTACAATCATTAAATATTTAGTGCTCGGTAGTCAACAAAATCTACTAATCTAACCAGTTCACTTTGATTTGATGCAAAAAAATTGATGAGCGTAATATTTTTGTTTATATAAATCCACTTAAACATATCAAATTCACTCCAATTGCTCTTGATCTTGATTGATAGATGAAACAGGCTATGAAACAGGTGCAAAAACCCCTCAAGGCCTTGACACCTTTAGAGAACAAGCATGGAAATGAATTGTTAGTGTTTGCTATTTCATGAATTTGGCACGCATTTAAGTAATTTTTATGATTATGAACCTCCAAAAATGAAAAATCTCAAGCTCACTTGCATAAAGATAGCATAAACATGGTTTGGTTCTATGGTATTTATCGGTGCTATACCTTGATAAAAGTTCCATTCCTTGGGAAAAATTCATCCAATATCCGACTTTCATTTAAATTAAAAGGTGGTTTCTATTGGAAAAATAATCGACTATCCATCTCGATTTTCTTTTATAGACACCTAAATTATTTGAACAGATCCCTAAATTAGGTATAAACTAGAAGTTACTCATATCTGAAGGTACGATACAATGTAAATAGTTTTGATAAAAATGTTGGTAATCGCTTGATGAATCTATTTGAGACCGTCAGATAGATTTATTAAAGTCTACACTATTTTATATTATAAATTATAGATAACAATATCATTTATGTGCTACAAATTCTATTTTATTAATGTTTTTGAGCCGAATAATTCTTTATGGACCAAATTTATACACCAAAACTTGCACCAAATCAACTACAACTATTGAATCAGTCACGAGACCCACTGATCCAACAACTACAAATAATTTGGTATAAATTTTGGTGCACATAACATTACACTTTTGAGCCAGTTTTAATAACAAGTTCTGCCCAATGGCTGAATCAACTGAAAAACTTAAGTCTAAGTCATCCCAAACAAAAATATTATGCTGACTAAGATTTATTTTTAAGTTTTTCATCTCAAGTAATATGACATAATTTTTAATATTAAATAATAAATCTTATTAATATTCAATGATATAAATTAAACCACATCATTTGAGATAAAAAAATATCGGTAAAGATAATATTATTGCACGCCAAATATAGAGTGCTCAAAGGTACAGTACCAAGGGATTGTATAAGAAAACAGTACACACGCCCACCAAAGCAAATGCTGGGTCCCCTGAGACTACTAGCGAGATGAAGAAAGAGGAAAACTTCACATACAGAATGTCCTCTCTCTCTCTCTCTCACACACACACACAAAGAGGAAAGAGGAAAACTTTAGATACAGAATGTCCTCTCTCTCTCTCACACACATACACAGAGGAGACAACCTGCAACTACAAGTCTAATCTCTGACCTTGTCTTGGCCTTTTACTTTCTCCCTTCCTTCATTATCTTCTCACTCATATTTATTCATCAGTTGTGCACTTTGCAGGGGGTAATATATATATTTTTTAATTTTCACACACTCATTGGGTGCTTAGTTTTTTACCACCAAATTTATCTTTACTCACTCACCCTCCTTTCATCATACCCCTCTTTGCCCATCTCCATCTATAAACTCAACTCTGCAATTATATATAGACTAAAATTCCAAAAACTTCTAACCACATTCTCCATAATTCTTATCCTCCAAGTTTTTATTATGGCAGAACCCTACTCCAATTTCTTCACTAGATGCTTCAACTTCATCCCTCTTAACTCACGCTACTCTTCCTCTACATCATACTCCATCTTTCCTTCCATTTCTCCTCATACAGATGACTCGTATTCATACAATATCATGTCCGTGCAGGAGACTCCGATCAATTCAGACAACATTGGAGTCATTTTGGGATCTGTAAGCAGTCATACGTATTCGGACAACATTTGTCCAGTGCACGAGACTCTGGGTATTGTCAGATCTGAAGAAAGTAAGATGTTCTCAAATACCTATCAAGTTCAAGCATCACCTCCTTCACCTCCTCTAAGAGAAGCTCTACCTCTTCTCAACAACTTGAGTTTTAGTGCAGAAGAGAATAGACCTTCTTCCAGTCCCATGGAAGATGACAGAAAGAGAGCTAAAGATGAGAGCATTCTATCTCCTGTTGATGATGAAGGTGTGGCTATAGACCTACATATAGGGCTCCCTAGCCCTAGTTCTTATTTGTTTTCTTCCTCTGAAGAGATTGTAAGTAAGGATAATGTTGGTGTTCTCTTAGGGTTGCCCTTGAACAGATCAAACAATGTTCAGTATTGGGTTCCTACACCTTCTCAGATTCTCACTGGCCCAACACAGTTCTCATGTCCTGTTTGCTGCAAGACGTTTAACAGATACAACAATTTGCAGGTACGGATCATCGGCCGACCTAATTTACTGGCCTAATTTTTTACAGTTGTTAGATTGACAATGAATTCTGTCCAATGTTGAGACTTGATGCTAGTCCAACAGTAATTAATTAAATCAGAAAATTTGGTCCAAGTAGGATTACTCCTCTTTGGTTTCTCATTCTAAGGAAAAGAGGCTTATGTTTTCTTTCCTTCTAAGATTGAGAGATATCTCATTTATGTCCCAGTTCTCACACAAGATTGACAAAAGTGTTCATCGCAAGGACTCAAAAATCTCTATTTACAACACCTATCTTCAAGTGAAGGAGATTTTCTTTGAGATTATCTAAAGTTGTCTACTCCATGTGACAGAAATTAACACCAATTTTTTTCATAATGGTAAAAAGTCTAAGCTGTGTGGGCTTAAGCGACACCAAATTAATTCATTACACTTTCCATATTTTTATTTTGGTTTTATCCAGCACCAAAATTAGTCACACAAACACATAATTAATAACAGTTGTATGTTTGTGTTCTCTTGGTCTTTCTGCGGAAACCTTCACAAACAATCGTCATTTTTTGATGGTTTTTCCGCTACATCTTCCCTTCTTGTTCTTTATTTGTTACTTACTAACTTTAAACTTTTTTTATGCATGATCTTGAGTTTTGGTTTGAGAATTTGGAATGCCTTGAATTATTTCTTTTCCTTAAATTTTCCATTCAAGCAATGTTCTTAATATTTATTACCTTGAAGTTTGTGCTACACTACTGTAGCAATTTGGAGATGGGTAAATGTAAAACTGATAAATTTTACAGCATGTCAGTAGTTCAGGTGTTTTTAAGAGACACCCAGTACCAGTAAGACCACACTCATGGCTGCATTGTGACCTCTGAAATTCTACTGTTCACTAACAAGTATATAGACCCTGATTTAAACTTGACATTTGGGATTGTTTACACTACTGAATTTACATTCTATTTTATCTACTTAAAACTGCCGTCTTTAATGGGTAACTGTAGGTCCTAGTTACCAAATTTTTAGGTTTTTTTTTAATTTTTTTCTTAAATTTTCTAGCTGTTCTCTTTCGTTTGATTAGAGATTTTTCTAGCAGTTTTATACTTTTTTATTAGAGAATCTCTCTCCCTCTCCCCCCCTCCCCCTCTCGCTCGTTCTTGTTGGCACTTTGATTGATTAGATATATGTCAAACGATTAAGGTTTGTGCCTGTGCTCAATCAATTTTATAGGCTTTGTCTGCTCTCTCTCTCCTCCCATCCTGGTGAACAGTTTGATTATTAGATGCATGTCCCATACTTAACTAAGTTGTTTGACTGTGTAACAGTTGTTGATTTTGCTTGTAGTTCTCTGGGTGACCTCCTCCTCCTCTCTCTCTCTCTCTCTCTCTCTCTCTCTCTCTCGTATTGGCACTTTGATTGATTAGATGCATGTCAGACGATTAAGGTTTGTTACTGTGTTGAATCAATTTTTTTATAGGCTTAGTTTGCTGTTTCTCTCTCCCCCCACCCTGGTGAACAGTTTGATTATTATATGAATGTCCTATACTTAACTAAGTTGTTTGAGTGGGTAACGTTTGTTGATTTCGTTTGTAGTTCTCTGGGTGACCTCCTCCTCTCTCTCTCCCTCAACTTGGGTTTTTGTCAATTTTGCAGATGCATATGTGGGGACATGGATCTCAATACAGAAAAGGGACAGCCTCTCTAAGAGGAACTCAACCAACAGCAATGCTAAAACTGCCTTGCTATTGCTGTGCACCGGAATGCAAGCACAACATTAATCACCCAAGAGCAAGGTCACTCAAAGACTTCAGAACCCTCCAAACACATTACAAGAGAAAGCATGGAACCAAACCCTTCATGTGTAGAAAATGTGGTAAGCCATTTGCAGTGAAAGGTGATTGGAGAACCCATGAGAAGAACTGTGGGAAGGTATTAATGATGAAAAATAAATTTGATACATGAAGTTATTTGTTTTGCAATTGGGTCCTAAATGTATTGGTAATAATATTTAACCAATAATGTTATTTAGACATAATTTTTTGACATAATTCATCATAACTATTAGATAAATTGCAGGTTTCAAAAAGTATTGGGTTTTATCATTAATTTAATGGTTATGAATGATTAATCAATAAATTAGATTAAAATAACATTACTCATATTTAAATAGTTAAACACGAGTGTTAGTGGTGTGTTAATTCCGGTAGTGGTGCAAGGATATATATGTTATTAGTGGTTAGGCATTATGAGGAAATAGTGGGGTATTAATGTAAAGTTAGGCATTATGCTTCGAAACCTCTATACGAGTTGAACCAGGTGATTCTAATCCCCTTGAATGAAGATTATAGTAGTTTGAGTATCTAATTTTTTTCCTCTATTTCTGTTGTATTTTGAGTTTTCTTGCCTCAAACAAAACTGATATGAGAGCTAATTTCTAACCAAATTACTAGTGGCAATTCCCTACAGGTATGGTACTGCATTTGTGGATCTGATTTTAAACACAAGAGATCTCTTAAAGACCATGTAAGGTCCTTTGGGCAAGGCCATGCAGCTTTTGGTGTTGATAGTTTTGAAGAAGACGATGAGCCGGCATCGGACATTGAGCAAGGTGGTGAATCCCCAGTGTGATGCATAGTAGAAAACTGGGATTTGAATGCAGAAACATCTCATCTTCTAAGAGGATGCTGAGCTTCACATAGCAATATTAGGGCTTTGGGCATAAAAAAGTTGAACTTAAAACCACTTTTCTTTTCTTTTCTTCTTTTTCTCTGTAATGTGGACCAGAATATCTGTAAATAATGTGCTTATTTGGTATAGAAGAATGTGGTTTATGAATCACCTAATGTTGTGAGTGAGAATTCACAGAGATTCAAGTTATGAAAGATTGCTTCATGATCCAATTTTCCAGTTGATGGTGAAAACCGAATCACATAATCGACAGTATGGTATATGATTTATCACGATCATCTGCAGCAACACAGAGAAAAGGCTAGGAGTGCTAAAACACACTGATGGGGTGTTGATCTAAGACTTTCTAATTGTTCGTGTTAGGGTTTATGAAAATAACAAATTTCTTTCTAGGTTAGAATTGATATACCTTGATTATATAGAACTGACCCCTCTATATAGGGGAAATCTTAATAAATTCTGTGAAATTATCTTCCCTTATTGATGACTATCACTTCATTGTTGTAGACTTCTAATGCAGTGTAGGGATTTTCCATGCTAATTCTTGTAGAAGCCTCTCTTATTTGGCATGAAACAATTAGGAGTCTCAAAATCTAACATAACTCATTAATACGACATGTAATTAAAGGATTTTGGTTTTTTTTAAGTAACCCGTTTTGTAAATGAGTGGACCTGACATGAAATAATTAATAAACGAATTGGATATGAACGAAATCAATTAAAAGAAATATATGACATGACTCGTTTGTATACCGATTAATATAAAATACATACCCGATATGACATAACTCATTAGAAATGTATTAACAAAACGAATCAGACATGAATAAAGTGTTTTTTTGACACAAATTCATTAAGATCTGATACGAATCCATTTCATTCAACACAATTGACAGGCCTGGGAATAATGTTGGCCCCTGGCTCGGAGTCTTTTAAGTCGAAACGTTTTAGCTCGAGCATGGTCATCTTAAGTCCAACTAGTCAGTTGAGAATTCCCTTATTATTTCCTTTGTCACAAACACATAGAAGTTATATTTCCGTAGAAGAAAATTTTCCATTTAGGAAGGAAGGGCAAACAAGTTTGTGTTCATGAAAAAATGGCATACAAAAAGTCTATAAAATTAGGCTTTGCAAAGAAACTTAGTAAGATATGAAAACATGCATAATCAACTCTCTCTCTCTCTCTCTCTCTCCACACACACTCACATATATATATATATATATCTTCCATCTATCTATCTATCTGGTTTGGGGTTGGGGTTGTTAACCCTTAAAGTAGTTCATCTAGGAACNACACACACACTCACATATATATATATATATATCTTCCATCTATCTATCTATCTGGTTTGGGGTTGGGGTTGTTAACCCTTAAAGTAGTTCATCTAGGAACAATTTTTTATTCATATGACACAAAACTTTGGGAATATAAAAAATAAAATTGGATAGCCATCATTTAAGACACTTGATAGATTTTTTTATTATTTTTATGCTCCGTTTGGTAGGAAAGATAAAAAGTAAGACGAATAAACTTTCTATCCTTTAAAATTGGAAAGTAGGAATGATATATTTTTTTTCCTTTGTGTTTGGTTGGATGGATGGAAAATAAAAATGACCATTTTTTTTTAATTTTTTTTTTGTCTAATATTATGGGTGACAATCGAGTCATGTTGTATCAAATTTATGTTGAGTCATAAAATTATGAACCTTTTATATTTTTTGTTTGTGTGTCATGTCATTTTCAAATTCGTATCAAGTTATATATATATATATATTATCATTCTATTTTTATATGAAATTAATGCATGCATAATATATAAACAAATAAAATACATCTCAACGAAAATAATTAATTTTTCATCCACTTTCCTTCCGATTTTTAAGAGATTGATTTTGGTGAGTTGGAAAAAAAATTAATCCACTTTTCCATCCTTCATAATTTCATTCCTTACCAAAAATGATGTTTTATTTATCCTTCCAACTTTTCATCCTTCTATTTTTTCATCATACCAAACAGAGTATTAGGATAAATAGAGATGAATTTAAATCCCCTCCATTATTCATTCTATTTAATTTCCCTCAATATAGTGATAGATGAGTGACATATGTAAGATTTTAAATTTCAATGGATAAAATGTTTTCTCATTTATTTTGTTGATGGTGAAATGTTAACCATTATTAAGGAATTTTCTCATAGAGAAAAAATCTTGTCCATTTATATTCAGAATTTTACAAATGTCACTCATTTAGCACTATATTGAGGGGAATTGAAGAGAATGAGTAATAAAAGGGATCTGAATCCAACAGGGATTCTGAATTTTAGTTGAGTGAACATCCGACCACTCATGACTTCTCTTCCATTTATTATTATTATTATTATTTTACGTAAGATATCATGCAAACACTTAATCTTAAATATTGCAATAGTTTTAAAATATGGGCTTATTACAGTATCAAACAGCGGTTGTATTTTCTTGAAGTCTCCAATTATTATTATACTCGTTAGTTGACTTCCAATAAACTTGGAAATACCTCCGTTTGGAAGTGATTGAGTTGAAATTTGAGAACGGGAGTAATTTTTAATTTTTTTTAAAAATGTATAAAGAGAAAAACAAATCTTTTTTTCACAAAGAATATAACTACCCCTATTCTTTGTTTGGTTGGGGTTTTAAGGTCTGAAATTTAAAGGGGATGTTGTACCCTGCCTAGGTATATATTCAGTGCATTGAAACCCACATATGTTGACTTGAAGGGTGGGTTTCACATCTGGGTAGCCTAGATATACATGTGAAAAGGCATTATCAACCATGGGTCCTACATTAGCCTTATGGATTGAATTGGACTACTATAGGCATTTTGTTGATTTTATGTCAATCCTTGGGTCCAACATTAGCCTTATGTGAAAAATCAAACATGGGTTTAGATGGGATCCACATGTTTATCCCATTAACAAATCCAACCGGGTGTGATTTGGGAGGACTAGAGAAAAGCAATCCAATCCACCTTTTTTCCATCATCCAAACATGCACTTGAGAAACAAGAACAAGTTACAGTGTTGAATAAGCTAATTTGTGAATGAGTGCCTGAGTTTAGGGGTGGCCATGGGCCGTGTAGCCCAGCCCAAAAAAAATCAAGTTATAACCATCTACTTGATAAACATAAGTGAACTGCTCCACCTTCTGAGAAAGGGTAACTTAATTTCATAATCGATCATAACATTTTGAAATCCATCATACTTTTTACGGTTATAACTTACGTTTCAAAATATTATAACTTGATTTTAAAAAGTAGTAAATTCATATGTTAAAACTTGTGTTACATCGTTTGGACGGGAAAAAACTTGTTATCATTTCAAGACTGTAACGATATTATACAAATACAACCGAAATCTTGTACAAATAGTCTTTTACCAATTGATATTGTTCATCATGGTCTTTCTTTAAACAGTTGTAACTTTTCTTTTAAGTGTAATTTTACTATAAAAAAATTGTAATCAGCACAACGGTACCAAATATATCTTTTCGGTACCATAGAGCTTCCCAAACACAACAACACAATAACCACTGTATGAATCAGGTAGCATCAAAGTTTGATATGCAACTCTTCCCGGAATGGGAATTGATAGATGACATAAAAAAAAAGGCGGTCTAATGCACAAAATTTCTGTCATTGTTTAGTCTTGCAATTAATGTCAATGCACGTGCAACATTACTCATTTCAAGCGGAGGGATTGTCTTCTCGTCTCGAACCTATAACGCTCAAATTACAATAACGCAACTTTACCAATATGCTAAAGTCCACCCTCCCTTGGGAATTTATAGATATATTCATCATTTTAACCATAAGCAGGTCCAAACAAGCTATTGCAGGAAACTTTTGTTCAAAAAAAGGAAAAAACAAACTCTTGGGTGCAGAATCTAAGTTAGCTGTCCCTTTACAATGTCAAAAGACCACCCAATTATACTGTTCAGGTAATAAGGTGAATCATATTCCATAAGTAAGATTAGTTTTATATAAAGCTCAATGCATACGACCCTCTCCATATACTACAGTGACAAAGCCTCGTGCACTAAAATCTCCTGTTTTTTATGTCAAACAGATATTTCCTTAAGTCTTTCTCATTCATACGAATCATCACAGTGATCTGGTGATGAACATGTCATGTTTACAGTACAACCAACCATGTGGAATGTCCCACTTCTATACCCAACCAAGCCTTCCCCCCTAGACTCAAGTGTCAGGGAAATAACTGGGGCTTCTCCTCTGTAAATTCAGTTTTAGTCTAAATGTCAAATCACAATGTAACCGTTGAGAAAACCCCCAATATGTCACTTCTAACAATTTAACAGCAAAAAAAAAAAAGGGAAGAAATTATTAATGAAAACTGACTAATTTTATACACAGGAGGTGACCTGGGACATGACTCAGGTCAGGGCACATCACCAAAGTTACAGTATCGACCATCAATTCAGACCCTTTTGAGATATACTAATAAAAGTATAATGGTGAGATATCTTGTGATACAACTTAAAAGAAAGAGTTAAATATAATGGTAAAACATTGAGACTATAACGCGGTATTGTAGAATTGAATCGGTGGAATCGGTGATAATAACTCAATGACTTGAGATTGACTCGAACGATTCGGTCAAGACTCAAAATTTATAAATAACGGGTGACAATATCAACTCAGAACGTGCCTAATTGAATATGACTTAACCGACCCTTAGCAATATTGATTGATACATTAAACAACACCATACTATTTCTAAGAGTCCCAACCAACCAAAAAAAAATTCTCAAAGCAAAACACAGATTGTTCTCCTCTTCATTCAGGTTCTGAACACAAAATAAAAAAACGACCCAATGCACAAAGTTGTTTTTGATCATGTCATACACTAAATAAGAAAAAAAAATCTCAAATTAATTCAACCTATCCAGATATGTAAAACAAGTAAAAGCTAATCAGCCTCTGTAACACTGGCTGGTTGGATTATAATCTCATATCGAGCCTTACAAGAAACCTCGTATAATTTGTAGATTATTACATACATCTACATTCTACATAACATTAGCGAGTTCAAAAACAAACACATGATTAGAACCATTTTCTATTTATAAAATTAGCTTTATAAAAATTGACAATAACACAAACTTTAATTAAAAACAAAAGAAACTTTGCAATACAAAAAAGCTTTATAAGTATCCCTTATTACAATTCTCTCTCCTCTCTATCAACAATACCATCCCAGCACAGTGAACTAAATCTCACCCAACTGTCTTAAACGACTCATGAATGTGTTTCAAAGTTTCCTTATCCTTCTGCCACTCCGGCGCCGGCGCGTTGACAAAATGCGCGTAAAGCTTATTATTCGCACAAGTCACCGAAATCAAGCTATGTGCACCAACCCCATCAATCTCATAAACATAATACACTTGCCCATTATCGTCCTTCCTCTCATCGGAAACCACCGTCTGGGCGCTGGCGATAAGATCCTGCAAATCCACGTCTGATAAAGCCAAGTTGTTAAGAATCACATCCTTCGGCGCCAGTTGCCGGAATCCAGCGAGAAATGTCAGGTACTCCTTCTCCGATTTCTTCTTCGGGTTGTAGAATTCGCTATCGGTGCCGTTTGTACCCTTCTCGACTTTTGAAACTAGGCGTTCTTTCCAGCCGTCCGGGACGTCGTAGGTGTACTCGGCGGAGGCTTTCTTGTCAGAGTTTCCGCCATAGCCGCCGTAGCTGGACGCGCTAGCGGCAGTGCCGTAGTATAAGTGGAAGGCTGTGGTTGAATCGGCTAAAGAGGAAGGTGTCGTGGCGGCGGTTAGTATTGTGGTAGCTATGGCAGTGGCGGTCAAGGCGGTGGTAAAGTTGGTTAACGGCGGTTTGGAGGGTGGGATTGTGACTTGGGTTTTGGGTAGAAATGGTGGAAGTTGAGGTTTTGGAGGAGGTTTAGAGGCGGAGGAGGTGGTGGTGGATGTAGAGACGAGGGCGGAGGTTGAAAAAATGGCAGCCATTGGGTGGGGGTGGATGTGGTTGCTATGCTATTTGCTTATATCCATCTGTGGTGAAGATTTTTTCTCTTATCCATGGCAAAGGAAGGAAAGCTTTTGTGTTAGGGCGTGTGGTATACGCACCAATCACGAGGGAGTATGGTGCCATGTCATCTTTTAAATCACAACAATCCTGATTTAAAAGAAAATAATAATATTGTGCTGATCAAATTTTAAGATTAAATTTAGAGTTTAAATGACATGATAGTATATTATTTTAAATTTTTATTGGGATGTAAATTATATGATATCAAATAAAGAAACTCAAATTAACTGTCATGTCATTTAAATTTTAAATTTAATCTCAAAATTTAATTGATGCTAGAGTTGAATTATAAACTACGAAGGGATGGACAAGCAAGCTTGNTTAAATGACATGATAGTATATTATTTTAAATTTTTATTGGGATATAAATTATATGATACCAAATAAAGAAACTCAAGTTAACTGTCATGTCATTTAAATTTTAAATTTAATCTCAAAATTTAATTGATGCTAGAGTTGAATTATAAACTACGAAGGGATGGACAAGCAAGCTTGGGGGGATCCGGCTCCTCTGCTGTTCTGGAGGAACAGCAGACCCTACTGTTCACCACAAAACGACACAGTTTTGTGCCCTTTTTAAAAAGCCATTCAGACCCACATCAAACGGTGCCGTTTGATTTTTCTTTTTTTTGCTCCTTAAATAACATGTTAACTTTTATCATTCAGGTTAACTTTTGGCGTCATTTCTTGGCNCGTTCTGGAGGAACAGCAGACCCTACTGTTCACCACAAAACGACACAGTTTTGTGGCCTTTTTAAAAATCCATTCAGACCCACATCAAACGGTGCCGTTTGATTTTTCTTTTTTTTGCTCCTTAAATAACATGTTAACTTTTATCATTCAGGTTAACTTTTGGCGTCATTTCTTGGCGCACTTACGGGCTACAAAAACTAATTCTCTGGTTTTGCGATTCGTTCCTTCGTCCATTTCAGGTACTCTTATGTCTATTTCGAATATTTTTAAGTGAATATATGTATAAACACACACACACATATATATGAATATACATACACACCCACAAATTTACATTTTTATTAGTTGAATTTTTATTGATCTAAATTTAAATTTTAAAATTTTGAATCTTCGATTGTTTTGTTGATTTCTTTGATCATTATTAAATCTACAAAGCTACAACAGCTGCTCTGCACCAGGAAATTATCATATTTGAACCACATGCCCCTTAAAGCAACAAATTAGCCAAACACTATCAATTTAAATAAACACTCTGGTGAAGTGCATTTGTCGCACTGGAAGNGGAAATTATCATATTTGAACCACATGCCCCTTAAAGCAACAAATTAACCAAACACTATCAATTTAAATAAACACTCTGGTGAAGTGCATTTGTCGCACTGGAAGACTTGCCTTGCGGCCTGCTCATCTTCACAATATCAACCATTGATACTTGACCAGGAACCCCCAACCAAGCAGATTGATATCCAAAAGACGGATGTGAGGCTGATGAAATATGATCAACTGCACCTATTGTTGTCACTTTATTTTCGGCCATAGTAGATTCACTGCATCAAATTTTATACTATTAAAACAAACAACTTCAAACGGCAGGCAAAAGATTGGAAAGCATAATTGGTGGAAAAAAATACATGTGATTCCTCCATCAAAATTAAAAAAAAAAAAAAAAAAA